GATTAAGATCTACTTCACTCAGTCTGGGCCAATAATCTCTTTATTTGTCTGAGGGAAAGTACAGGAGGGAGGGAGGCCTATACAGCAGTAATATAACAAGGGGTCTTAATGTGGAAACAGAAGATCTGGGAAACTCTTTCAAAAGGGGTTTAAAGCCAACATTGTATTTGTTATTTGTATTATAATATTCCAAATCAAAATAATGTCTCATAATAAAAGTAAATATTCTGTTTTCTCTTCTGTTTCTGACTCAATTTCAATTAAACCTGCTTTGGGAACCACGATTTACCAAAATGCGTCCGAGCACAGTCTTCTATTTAAGGCTGAAAAATAATGCAGTGGGGGAAAATAATTTATATTTTGGAAAAATGTATATTATAAAGATCTTGTAGGTGTGTCCTTTTATAATGCAAAATATTCATTTTAAAAAACCCTGAGACAGAAAACGAAAAAGCTTGAGACATAAACGATAAGTTTACATGTGAAATCAAACTGTGGATGTAAAGTTTTTGTGACCAATTCTACAATTGCTCTTTCACTGACATCTACTTTTTTGTGTTCACGCAGGATGCAGAGAGATGCAGATTTCTTACACAAGAAGGCGGAGAGAGCAACACTGAGGGTGTGCCTCAGAGATAAATACAGGCTGCCGAAGGTAAACACACCTGAGTCTCTGTCGCTGCAGAAAAACAACTGTTTTAAGATTTGTTTCATCATCGAAGTTATTATAATGAAACGTGTTCCACAAAAAAAGAATGTTAGTTAAAAATAAAACTAAGAAACTTTAAAATAAAAAGGGAAAAAAGAGAAACTGAAATAGAAAAGAATTGCTTGTGACTCAGGATAGATATTTAATCTTTTTTACCTGCAGTTTGGCATTTTGGACAAAAGGGAAATAATCAAACTAGTATTCTTTGAAGGACTGCATACTGCCCGCTGCATGCCAAGGGTTTAAACAAACATCTGTTAGAGCTTGGTGTATGTGTTGGGGATGACTCTCAGCTACGACCTTAGCTCAGTATCTGTAAAACTGACATTTTATTTATACAGTTGGTTAGCTGCAGCTCTCTTGATTCCAAAAATAGAATAAATTTTTATTTCAAAACAGACATAAAACAACAGATAAGTGTAGATTTACATTTTGGCCAACTTACAAGACCATCTGTATAAAAGGAGTAAGATGTAAAACTTATATTTTCCACTTTCTCACTTTTCATTTGATCAATCTAATCCTGATTTTTTATTCTTGTTAAACCTTCTTGCTTTGTACACATTGCTATCTCAATTACACCCAAACACAGAAATAATGGATTTTATTTTAAAAAAATAAAAAAATATGTCAATTGTTTCCACTCAACTGCACTGAGTAAAGGTAATACATTTACTTTACAC